CCCAAAAATTCTTTCAGTGTACATACAAGGTGAGATATCCCAGTTAGTCCCGTGAGGGGAAGTAGCCTTCCCCCATCATACGGCACACCAAGTTGAAACTAAGTCCCGAGCAACCCTCACAGCGGAGATCGCTCGGACCCTTAAACCCTCATTAAGGAAAACTGTTAATGACTTTTTCTATAAAATATAATTTTTTTAAATAGTAACATTTTTTATTTTTCATTAACATATTTAAATTCCTTACTTTCTCACGATTCTATACATATGTTGTTTACCAAAAAAAGTTTAAATTAAAAAAATTAATTATTTTTTCCAGATACATAGAATGAAGTTAACTCTACCAAAAACCATATACCTATTATTAAATAAATATTTACTGTTTCACATAGGTTTTATCTAAATCACTTTAATGCTATTTGACCCAATATTTGCAATATTTGAAGCAAATACCATTTAACTTAATCTTTAAATTTTAACATTTTTTTGGTAAACAACATATGTGACTGTCCACGAGAAAACAAGGCTTAGGTCCAAAAAATCAATTTTGATTTTTTATGGTAATCGGCAGATATTATGTTGCTTTTTCAAATGCAAAAGTCAAAAGTTAAAAATATCAATTATTTTCGACAATATATCGTTTTAAAGCTGGGTATGTCAAGCGTAGTTAACTTCAATCGTCGACTGTCCACGTCAAAACACGGCTTGGTTCCAAAAAATCAATTTGATTTTTTATGGTAATCGATAGATTTTATGTTGCTTTTTCAGATGCAAAAGTCGAAAGTTAAAAATATCAATTATTTTCGACAATATATCGTTTTAAAGATGGGTATGTCAAGCGTAGTTAACTTCAATCGTAGTACTTCAATCGCTCGCCCTGTGAAATTCACGTTTGGGAGCTAAGCCGTGTTTTCTCGTGGACAGTCACATATGTATAAAATCGTAAAAAAGTAAGGAATTTAAATATGTTAATTTAAAAGTTAAAAATGTTACTATTTAAAAATTTATATTTTTCATTATTAATAGAAAAGTCATTAGCAGTTTTCCTTAATGAGGGTTTAAGGGTCCGAGCGACCCCCGCTATGAAGGTTTCTCGGGACTCAATTGCAAGTAGCCCTCGCAGCAGGGGGCTCTATGTCCCTTCTAACGGCGAACAGACAAACTAAATGCGAACAGACAAAATATATATATGCAAACGGAATACGGACTTTAATATGGTTAATTTACTTTTGGAGTGCTCAATTGTACAGCCTCTATTATCATTATTACTAATTGAATTAAAATTATTATAATTTTTTTTATTCAAAGAACACTTATCCTTTGACAGCTCCATTGTTACAATTTTATTATTATTTACATTATTCCAAGGGTGTGCCTTCAAAAAATTATAAGAATTTGTTTTTTAATATTTCAAAAGACGCTTCTAATCACACTCTACAATCGAATGTCTCATATTCGATCTTCTCATCTCTGAAAACTGACATAGACGATTATCTTAAAACATTTTTTAAATGCTGCCTCATTTTGTTATTTATGCTTTCGTAATTAACAGTGTTTGGCATAACATTATAAAATAATGATGTTGCACATGCTATTGCATATACTCCGCATTCAACACTACCCATTGGTTGTTGATCAACAGTAACAAAAACTACTGGTGGCTTAAAAGGATATAATCTACTTAAATAATACAACTGATCTCCATTCAGACATTTTTCATTAAGACTATCAAACATATAAATTCTTGTTGTAATAAATTTTACGAGGCCTTATACGGTGTAAACAATTTTATTCATTTTGACGACGTTTCGATATATTGAGTATCCTCTTCAGGTCAAATAATTGAAAATAAAAAACAAACAGTCGTTCAGTCATTTCATCGAAAAAAAATAATAATAATAATAAATTAATGGAAACTCTCTTTATGAGGTGTTTCTGTTTTATTTTGTTTTTTCGATGAAATGACTGAACGACTGTTTGTTTCTTATTTTCAATTATTTGACCTGAAGAGGATACTCAATGTATCGAAACGTCGTCAAAATAAATAAAATTGTTTAAACCGCATAAGGCCTCGTAAAATTTATTACAACAAAATAAATGAAAACGGATGTAAAATTTATCAAGGAATATAAATTCTTACTCCATCATAATACGTACAAATCCAATGACCACTCTTATTATGACCACTAAATAGTATTTAAATATGTTTTTCGTCTACTCCAATAGGTCAAATATATTCAAGCAGATCTTCATTTACAAATAAAGTACTTTGCATTCTAAACATAGAATTTGATTCTCTTTCCAAAATTTTTCCAAATTCAGAAATATGATTATCACTTAACATTTTTTTATTATTAAGTATTTCTTTATATTCTCTAGCACTTAAATTAACATGTCCTTCTATGCTCGACATTTTTTAATCAATATTTTCTTCTTAATCTAATTTTAATTCCAATTTGTGGGTTTTGATAATAATAATTACGTTTTCCCAATTTATATTTTCTACATCACAATTTCATAAATTCTTACAAAATCATTGTCTCCTATATCAATAATACAAACTAACCAATATTTAACTCATAAAACAATATTCAAGATTTCAACTAATAAAGTGTATTTACTCCATTTCAAATAAGCCACATTCCAATTTTATCCAATATTTTATTATTTAACCAACATATCAATATTTAACCAATCAAATCATATTTAACCCATAAAACAATGTTTTTGAATTCAACAACCAATATTCTATTTAATTCATTTTCAATATGTCAAATTCCAATTTTATTTAATATACATATCCAATAAGCCCTAAATTCAATTTTATCCAATATATATTCTATTTAATATTTCAATTTGACAAATTCGTCAAATTCCAAATTCATCCAATTTACATATCCAATAAGCCTGAATTCAATATTATCCAATATATTCTATTTGATCTATTTCAAATTCGTCAAATTCCAATTTTATCCAATATATTCTCTTTATTCCATTTTAAATACGTCAAATTCCAATTTCATTCAATATATTTCTCTTTAATCCATTTTAAATGCATCAAATTCCAATTTCATCCAATATATATATTTCTCTTTAATCCATTTTAAATTTTAAATACTTTAAATTCCAATTTCATCCAATATCCAAATTTCAATTTTATCCAATATTTCTTTTCTTATCTTTTATTTCATCCAATATCCAAATTTCAATTTTATCCAATATTTCTTTTCTTATCTTTTATTTCATCCAATATCCAAATTCCAATTTTATCCAATATTTCTTTTCTTATCTTTTATTTCATCCAATATCCAAATTTCAATTTTATCCAATATTTCTTTTCTTATCTTTTATTTCATTCAATATCCAAATTTCAATTTTATCCAATATTTCTTTTCTTATCTTTTATTTCATTCAATATCCAAATTTCAATTTTATCTAATATTTCTTTTCTTATCTTTTATTTCATCCAATATCCAAATTTCAATTTTATCCAATATTTCTTTTCTTATCTTTTATTTCATCCAATATCCAAATTTCAATTTTATCCAATATTTCTTTTTTATCATTTATTTCATCCAATATCCAAATTTCAATTTTATCCAATATTTCTTTTTTATCATTTATTTCATCCAATATCCAAATTTTAATTTTATCCAATATTTCTTTTCTTATCTTTATTTCATCCAATATCCAAATTTCAATTTTATCCAATATTTCTTTTCTTATCTTTTAAATAAAAAAATCAAATGTTATTCAAAACAGAAAAAATATCAAATTTTATTCAAAACAGAAAAAGAATGTCAATTTCTTTATCCTTTAAATTCAAAATTAAAAAAAATACTATATCAAATGATAATATAATATTTAAAAAAATATAACTTTACCTCTCACGAAACACTTTAATTGACTCTCTACAAATTGTAGAGAAATTATACAAAAAAAAGAAAAGAAAATATCTAATGTTATCCAAAATAAAAAAAAGTATATCAAATAGTAATGTGATATATTCAAAAAATGAATATACCACTCACGAAGCACGATTGTTAACTCTCTACACTACATACAAGGAGTGATGTCCAAGTAAGGCCCGTGAGGGAAAGAAGCCTTCCCCCACCATACGGCACACTAAGTCAAAACTGAGTCCTGAGCAACCCTCACAGCGGGGATCGCTCGGACCCTTAAACCCTCATTAAGGGAAACTGTTAATGACTTTTTCTATAAAAATACAAATTTTTTAAAAAGTAACATTTTTTATTTTTTATTAACATATTTAAATTCCTTACTTTCTTACGATTCTATACATATGTTGTTTACCAAAAAATGTTAAAATTAAAAAAATTTATTATTTTTCCAGATACATAGAATGAAGTTAACTCTACCAAAAACCATACCTATTATTAAATAAATATTTGACTTAATCTTTAAATTTTAACATTTTTTTGGTAAACAACATATGTATAAAATCGTGAGAAAGTAAGGAATTTAAATATGTTAATGAAAAATAAAAAATGTTACAATTTAAAAAATTTATATTTTATAGAAAAAATCATTAGCAGTTTTTCCTAATGAGGGTTTAAGGGTCCAAGCGACCCCCGCTGTGAAGGTTGCTCGGGACTCAATTCCAAGTAGCCCTCGCAGCGGGGGGCGTTTTGCTCCCTCTAACGGCGAACAGCCATACTAAAAGCGAACAGACAAAATATATATATGAAAACGGAATACGGACTTTAATATTGTTAATTTTTTTTTAAATTCTCTTCAAAATTTCAATTATCTTTATAAATATTAATATTCTTCTGCAAAATTCAATTACTAATGTTTTATAAATTTCTTCCGAATATTTCAATTGATGATTTTATTTTTAATTTTAATTTAAATTTTTTTCTTTAGTAAAAGTCAAAATATTTGTACCTCTGCATGGGACTGGTTTTTGTTCGGTTTCGCCCAAGGAAGTCACGATTTTAACTTTTGTTGAAATCACTTCATTCGACTTTATGATTACTCACCTTTTTTTATCCTGACCATTTGATTCTTGATTTTTCTTAATTTTCTGAATTTCCTTCGCCTTTTTTGTTACTAATTCTCCTTTATTATTTACTTCTAATTTATTCAAAAATGCTTTACTCTCTAAAAAGTAAAAATGTAATACAGAAAATTATTTTTTTATTTCTATTAAAATAAATCTTATTTTTTAATAAAGTTTTATTTATGGAATTTAATTATTTATGGATTGAATGACTTTTAAATTAAATAGAATAAATTTGTTTTATAAGATTCTAAAAACGCAATTATTAATTTATTTATGTAAGGTTAGGTTTCTTTAATTAAAGTTTACCGTTTCGACACAGAATTTCTCCTTCATGTGCTTCCTTTCCGTAAAGAACATTTATTATTTCGCCAATTTTCTTCGACGCATATTCGTCTGTTTCTTTTAAAACCGTGAAAGAATTATTATGATTCACCCATTTCACCAGAATATACATGATTGAAAAGATATTTGCTTTTATTTCCTTTGAAACATATACTTGACGTTCAAATTAATATGAAGTTAGTAACATTAGAAATATAATAAAAAAAACTATTATTCTTGATTCGAATTTATTTGTTAGATACTTCAAAATATTAGTAACTTGCCAAAAAAACAGGGGCGTATATCTTTTTATTCTATTAATATCTAAAAATACTGCTTATTAACAATTTTCAGTTAATTACAAAATAAAACGAAATTTAAAATCTTTTAAATTAAATTTTTTTTATTCACATAAGAAAAAAATTTTGTTAATAATCGCTATTAAAAATACAAATAATGAAATTTTTCTAAATAGTTTTAATTAAAATTCTCTCCGATGTGATTTATATTTTTATATTTTATATTCTTTTCTTCCTTTGATAAAGGGTAAACTTTGTAAATCCTTTTTTATAAAATAATATAAATAAAAACATAAAAAATAATTAACAAACAGAAGTTATTAATTTTTTTTCTTTTTTTACGAACAAAAATTTAATTTTCTAAAAAATGTTATTCATAAATTTTTTTTAGCCTTTTCCCATACTTTAATAGATAACTCCCATACTTTTATGCACAATACCCATGGTTTAAAAGATAATCAATTTTATAAAATAAAAAAGGAAATTTCAATAATATTTATTGCAGCCTTTCCGCATACATTTTTAGACAATTCTCAAGGTTTAAAAAATTAAAGAACTTTTTATAAAAAAATAAGAAATTTCAAAAATATTTACTCCAGCCTTTTCCCATACTATTATGGATACATCTCATCATTTAAATAATAGAAGAACTTTTTATAAAAAAAATAAGAAATTTTAATAATATTTACTTCAGCCTCCATGATTTGAAAAATATCAAAGATTTAATATACTAAGAAATTAAAAAATATTATTAAAGACTATTCCCATACTTTTCTAGACACTTCCTATTATTGTTTAAGGAATCAAGGTTTTTTTATTGGATTATTTTATCAATAATATTATTTAAATAAATAATAATAAACTAATTTATTTATAATATTTTTTGCCTTATTTATATAACATTTGAATATTAAATAAATATTTAAATTATTTGAAACAAAAAATTTTATTGAATTTAATTTAGGTTTGATAAAAATGATTGAATTTTAGAAACATTTTAAAAAATTAAATAAATTCGAATGGGATATAAAATTATTAATGACGTTCTTATTTTCAATTAAATTATTTAAATTAAATAAAACTTTTTGAAATTTAATAACAGGAATTGAATAAATTTTTTTAATTATTTTACCGGAATTTTATTTCTCCTGCTTTCTTTTCAGGATTTCCTGTAAATTTGACACTTCCTTTTTTATTTATCCTGTTAATTCTTCTTGCACAAAATTGAATAAAAATAATTTGAATAAAATGACTTTTTATTGAAATGTTTATTTTTTCAATAACCCCGATTATGTCATGACAATCGTCTTTGTCAATTGTTTACCCTATACCCATCTGAATTTTACCTATTACCCTGTACCTTTTTCAACTATTACCCTCTAACCAACTCACTAATTACCACCCGTTTTTTCTGTGATAGCACCCATGTGCAAAACATATTTAACTATGTTCGGATATAGGATTAAAACTATAAACTAAAATTCTAAAGATTACCAAAATAACTAAAACGTTCACTTTAGTTCCGCGTTCTTATTGACAAAAAAAATCTATTATATTTATAAAAAATTTAAAACATTGTTCTTCGTTTTTTTCACAGAGCAAATTATGTTAATAATACTATGTTTAATAGAATTACTAGAGAAGCAAATTTAATATCAAATAAATTAAACTTCTTTGACAATAACGCATAGAGATTTAACACAGCACTGCGTAGAATTGTGTTCGGTACTAGTCATACTCAATATTATTGAGTTCGTATATTTTTCTTAGATTGTAAGAGTACTTAATGTACGAAAGGGCTTGACCCGTTTATTCTGAATAAATAAAATAAATAAATTATTATTTGTTACAAGACCCAGCTTTCGTTTCCTCTACCACATGTTTTGTTATAATTTACAGTTCTTTTCCGCTAATGGTTTTACCGTAAGAAAATACCCAGTCGAATTGCCCATGTTGCTTGCCAATATTAATGTAGTCTTATAAGTAAATTTATTTTAATAATTAAAACGATATTAAAATTTATCCGCGCATTTAGTGCTGTCTCTAACGGAGAGGAGCGTAATTATCTCACTTCCCTCCTTAGTAAAAAGGCATCTTCCACGAAATGTCTTTTTAAATTATAAATTTTATGAATTTATTCGGATATTTGTCATAATTAAGTGTTTGTATCAGTGATTCTAATTAAATTAGGTTGTTGAGACTACTTAAAACTTCGGATTTGAAGCCTGAATTTATGTATATTATTGTATACGTGTATATACAGTGTTTGCATTTTCTCCTTGCGTGGTAAGTATTTTCTATTATTTAAAGAAGAATCAAAATTTTCATTTTGATTTAAAATTTCATTAGAAGAAGAGCGAATGAGTAATGTCTGAGTGAAATAGTTTCCGAAAAAGAAATGTTACCGATATTGTTTGCAACTTCATTTAAAGAATCGGTGGTAAAATTTAAAATACTATTCTGACTGTCAATACCATATGCCAGAATTTGCAAATAAATTTTGTTGAGTCTGATGATTTTACCACCCATTCTTTCCATGCAGAAAATTCCTTTAGCTAAGTTTCATAGAGAAAAACAACGAATCTAGAATCCTTTGAAAAACCCAATTTTACATGTCAAAACCGCGTAAAAATTCAAAGAACAAACACTGATAACTTCACTCCGGTTTGATTATTTCGAATTTAATTTGAAAAAATGAAAATTACATTTGCAGAATAACCAGAAGATCGAGAAAACTATATTTTATTGTCAAGTTTGGTTATTACCTTTGACAGATCAAAACAATTGTGGCTGCCAGATTTATGACAACAACAAAAGAAAATACAAAAAAAGCAATGTTATTATATTACAACCCATACTTAAAAAAGTGGGAATTTAAAAACTTAACATTGTAATCAACTATAAAAATAAAAACCGGACAAGTGCGAGTAGAACTCGTACTAAAACCGAGAGTTCCGTACCCTCGTTTAAAACTTCTACTTTTTTGATGAAAAAATATAAAGATCAACTCCAATATTTTTTGCTGTATTTTTTCTGTAATCTGCAGGTAAAAATAAATAAATAACCAATTTTCATTTCTTCAGATAAAAAACTGTGGGCGCTAGGGTAAAAAACACGCTTTTTTGACGAAATTTTTAAAAACTTTGAGTTTTTCACTGAAAAAAATATAAAGATAAAATCCAATCATGTTCGGTGTATTTTTCCTAAAATCTACACATGAAAATACATAAAATAAGGAAAACTGTAGTCCAATAAGCCAAGAATTGTAAAAACCAAGGGGGGGTACACACTTTTTTTCTAAATAAAAAAAATATGAAGATGAACTCCAATATTTTTTTCTATATTTTTTTTGTAATCTACACGTAAAAATAAACAAAAAAAAGGCCTACGCCAGTCCACTAGACTTAGAATTGAGAGAATTAGCATAGGTATAATTATTATCAAAAATTGAAAAAAAAATTTAGGTTTTCGCTCAAAACGCAATGAAGATCAATTCTAATCATTTCCACTATAATTTTTCTGTAATCTACGCGTAAAAATACAAAAGTGTACCAATTTTCAGCTCTCTAGGTAAAAAGCTGTGAGCGCTAGAGTGAAATACACGCTTTTTTGACGAAATTTTTAAAAACTTTGAGTTTTTCGCTGAAAAAAATGAATATCAAATCCAATCATGTTCGCTATATTTTTCCTGAAATCTACACACGAAAATACATAAAATAAGCAAAGCTTCAGTCCAATAGGCCAAGAATTGTGAAAACCAAGGGGGGGTACACACTTTTTTTTAAAAGAAATCTTTTTTTAGTTTTTCGCAAAAAAATATGAAGATTAATTCCAATAATTTTTTCTGTATGTTTGTTGAAATCTACATGAAAAAATAAATAAAAATGTATAACGCCAGTCCACTAGATTAAGAATTGAGAAAACCAGCAAGGGTTAAATAATTTTCGAGCTTGCAAAAAGAGATTTTAGTTTTTCGATGAAAACACCATGAAAATAAAATCTAATCACTTCCGTTATATTTTTCCTGTAATCTATGCGTAAAAACGAATAAGTATGCCAATTTTCAGCTCTTTAGATAAAAAACTGTGGGCGCCAGGGGGGGTACATGTATTTTTTTCGAAATTTTCAAAATTTTCGAGTTTTTCGCGGAAAACACTATGAAGATCAATACCAAATATGTTCGCTATATTTTTCCTGTAATCCATTTTTGAAAATGACGGGTTCCACGTCAAGTGACCCAGGTTCAAATTTGAAATGTTTGGGATCAGGTAAAAAGTTTCCACAAACAGTAGTCCTATTAGATACAATAAAAAATATCAAATATTATTAATTTATTTAAACAAATATAAAAACTGGAGGGGGTCAAAGTTTAAATTTTTGGTCTTACATGGAATATTTGAAAAATTTGTAGTTTCTTTAAAACAAAACGAAAAAACGTTTTCTATTTTGGATTTTTCTGCTGTTTTTCAACACTTTCTAATGGTGTAAACAAATGTAGAGAAAAAAAATTTTTTGACCTTAAAAAATTAAATTAAAAAATAAAATTTCATTTTTTTATCAAATGGACAGTTTTTATTTTTTAAAAAAAAAATTTATCATAAAGGTGAGGTTTTTTCCTAAAAAAAATGTATAGGTCAAAACGTGGGACAAGAACTTTTAACTAGTCAAAATAAACATTTACTTCTGCAATCCACCGCCCCTGCGCGTTGTTGGGCTGTATATTGTTTATAACAATTGAAATAAATTATTTTATGCTTTAGTAATTATCTGGATGTCATATTGGAAGAATTTGAATTGATTTAGATCATGTGCAGCAACGGAATAAGAAATTAAA